GGTTTCACTACGCAGCTCTGACTCCTAGTGATCCTTCTGTCTCAGCCTCCCCAGCGCTGGGATTATAGGCATGCACCACCATGCCTGATTTCAGTGGCCACCCCAGTGTGCCCCAACACCTGCAATTTAAAGGAGGAGAGTTTATTTGCCTTGCAGCTCACTATCAGCTCCTCCAGGGCAATGACATTGGGGTGGAGGGGTGTGGCAGGACAAAGCTGCTCAACTCATTCAAAGTGGCTGGGAAACAAGCCAAGGAGACAGTGGCTGAGTGATGGGCTAGGGAGCATGCGCAGTGTCCGGGAATGCAGTGTGACCAACCTGGATCCACCCAGGTGGGTGCTTACCTGATCTAGCAGATGTTCCTTCATCCAATCAGGGTGATCGATCAGTATCATGGTCACAATGTGCATTTAAAAAGCCAGACATAAATCTATATTAATAATTACATTAAATTGTACTGGTTAAGTTAATGAACAACAATCATCAGATGGGACCAGAAGTATATTCTGTGAGAACAGAAACAATTTATCTTTGAAGTACAATAGATTGAAAGTCATAGAATAGGAAAAGAAAAATACAAGAAGTAAATTATCACTGTAAGAGATCTGGAGGACTATATTAAAATAGCAATGAAAACATACAAGAAATACCACTAGTACCCCAGGGGAACATTTTATGATAATAAAAGTGTTAATTCCTAACAAAGGCACAGCAATTACAGATACAGTTACACAAAACCAGAGAGCCCCAAAATACATGAAGCAAAAACTGACAGTATGGAAAGGAGATAGACTATTCAAGAATTACATTTATATACTTCAGTATTTTCTTGGTCACTAGTTGATAAATGATTGGACAGTAAATCACAAAGGGCATAGAATACTTGAGCAACAGTATTAGCCAACAGGAACATGCCGGCTAACAATAGTAGAATATACATTCTTTTGAAGTACAAATGAAACATTCTCCAGAATCCCAAATGTGCAAAGTCATAAAACAAGTCATTTGGCATTTGCAAGGTGTGCTTGAAACATACATGTGGAAACTTAAAAACACTGCAGTAAAAGACACATTGCCATTGGCCCCCTCGAAACACACCCCTTCCCCCGGCTTCCAACACACTTATTGCATCATTCTTGCTATTTTCTGAGCAGTTCTGGAAGTCTGCTTTCATGACGGGTGTGGTGAATGAACTAATGGTCAACTTGTACCCCCCAGCTGAACTGAATTAGCTTGGTGGTGGGTGTGGAGGGCCCAGTTGGGTACTGTTGAGAACAGAATAAAGGGAGAACTGGAGGGGAAGATGGTGTGCTGTTGACTCTCCTGGAGAAGCTTGTCGAGATGGTTTTCCTGGTATACACTCAGCTATTATCACCCTCAGAGCAGCTGGGTCCTCGTTGTCACTGAGGAAGACTGCAGTTCTCTTGGAGGAAGCTCTCTCTGGTCCTAGCCTCGAGCTTCCTAGCTCCAGGACAGATCCCTCAGCCTGCTGGTACATACTTTGTGGCTTCCCCCGCAACCTTTGGGCCTTCCCACGGACTTGCATGAGCCAGTGTTTCGGAATCTAGGTCTCCAGCTGAACTAATGCAGGACATTGCTGTGGGGTCCAGGCCCTCAGCTGGATTCTTTGAATCTCTGGTGTGTGAAAAGATCTCCCATACTCTTCTGCATTTGACTCTTTGGGTAAATACTGCAAAAGAATCCTATAAACTGTCCTCTATTGGATCCTTCCCTTGTCAATCCTGACAACAACTGGCTTTATCAGTTATGATAAAAAACACAGTGAATGCTGGTGCTGGGGTCCCCCAGTGGAAAGGCAAGTTTTTATAACATTCTGGGGTGTATTCTCACCCTCTTTATTCACTGGATCTGGCACCATGAGACTTCTGGCTTCCCCTCAAAGTTAAAATGGTCATCAAGGGTAAACCTTTTGAACTAACAGGACATTGAAGCAGCTACAACAGTACAAACAAAACCGCTTATGAAAGAGAACTTCTAGGACAACTGCAGGAAGGGGCAAGAACCGTGCGATGAGTGTTTGAAGCAAGAGCAAGTATTTCAAGGGGGATTTAAAATTTTAAATACTTGCTGTATCTGTTGAATACACCTGAGAACACAAGTCACAGTATATGGAGGGAAATCAATAATCTTAAATAATGAAAAGAGATTTAGAATCAATATCTAAAAAGAAATAACTGTTTGAACCTCAAGACACTAGAAAAAGATGAGCCAAAGAAAATAGTGGAGGAAAAATAAAAGGCCACAGCAGAAACCAAGGAAAAGAAGACAGTAAAGTAACTGAAAATAGTAGCAGAAGCTAGGTTTCTTCATCTTTGAAAAATATATGTGAAATTGACAGAAGTTTAGCAAAATAATTATGGAGAACAGAGAGAAAAGACTACAATTACCAGGAATGAAAGAGAATACTAAAAACTTCACAGTGACTGCGAGATGGGCCAAGTATTAAACAGAAGTGATAAAAGTTGATTCCAGAAAACATACAAAACTTTAATAGATCCATAACAACTAAAGGCATTAAGTTATTTAAAACCTTCTAATATAAAAATTTCAGGCCTACACGGCTTTACTGATAAATTCTATTAACATTTAAAGAATTAATATCAATCCAAAATTTTTTCAAAAGGAAAAGAGAAAGGGACACTTTCCATTTCATTTTACCTTGAGGCCAAGGCCTTACACAGTGAGTTCACAGGGAACTATAGATCAATACTTTTCATGAATATAAATGTTAAAGTTCTTGAAATAAGAGGAAATTGATTTTAGTAATGTGTGAGATGAATTGTACACTATGACTAAGAGCATTTTTTCCTTTTTTCCCAGAATTCAAGTTAGCTTCACATCTTAACATCAACTAATATGATATATTTATTAATAGAATAATCAAGGGTCAGCAAATAATTCTCCTGGGCCAAATCTGGAATGCCTTTTGTTTTTATAAATAAAGTTTCATTGTAGCATAGGAAAACCGATATATGTATTATTATTGTTTTTATGCTACAAATGCTGGTTGAATGTTGCTAACAGAGATCATATGGCTCACAAAGTAAAAATGCACTTACTATATAGCTATTCCTGGAAAATTCTGCTCACTTCTATAAAGGAAAAGCCGTAAGTGCATCTCAATAGAAACAGAAAAAGCATTTGTTAAAATCAACAGTCAGTAACTATCAATACACTGGGAATAGGGGCCGGGGAGATGGCTCAGTGGAAAGAGCACTTCCCTGGCAAGCGCAAGGGCCTGAGTTCAATCCCCAGTTCCACAAAAAACAACAACAACAAAAACCAAAAAACTGGGAATAGATGGAAACTTTCTTACTTTGATGAAAGTCATCTATGTAGCCCCACAACTAGCAAGAGGTTTAAAGGTGAATGACTGAATTGTCTCTCACAAAGATTGGGATGAAGGCAAGATTGTCAAATTTAGTCACTTCTACTCTACATTAGATTGCAGGTTCCAGCAGTGCAGTAAGAGAAAACAATAACATGACAGAAAGGAGCATGCCACCAAGTGGAAATGAAATGAAGAAAACAACTCCCTTTGCAGTAGCAGCGAAAGAATAAATTAGGAGCAAATTTAATGAAATATGGGCCACAGAGATAGCTCAGCGGTATAAGCGCCTGCCTAGGCAAGTGCAAGGACCCAGGTTCAATCCCCAGTACTGCGGGCCATGCTCACCCCAGGCTGAGACAGCTATCCAAGATCACATGCCTGTAATCCCAGCCCTGCAGAGACTGAACCAGTGACACTGTGCCAGACACATTAAGAAAAAAGTAGAAGTGTATGCTGAAAATTACCAAGTATTACCAAAAGTCTGAAGATCTAAATAAATGGAGATATGTCTCATCCTTGCAAATTAGAAATTTGATACTATTAAAATGTCAGTTTTCTCAAGATTGATCCATAGAGTCCAAGCATTTCCTTTATAAATAGATTCTTGAAAGGTGGCTGAAATACACAGGCAAGCTCATACCGCGATGAGTATCAAACAGCCCAATCCATGCGGGGATTCACAGGTGTTGCCGAGGATTTTAGACCTTTACCACATGATTTGTGGAGCGCCATGGAGATATTCTGCAAAATGCTGTGACAAGACTGGATTTGCAGGGCCAGGGAGATAGCTCAGTAGAATATGCACTTCACTGGTAAACTCAATCCCCAGTTCCGCCAAAAAAAAAAAAAAAAAAAAAAAAAAATTGGATTTGTATTATTAGACGATTACTGGTAGCAGGTGCGTAGCGAAACAAGGACAAAAAGCAGAGACAGTGGAGTGGTGGTAGGTTCCAAGTGAAAGTTGATGGAAGCCTGGATATACAAATGGCTGTGAAGCCCCAAAGAGATGCACGAATTTGGGATATATTTCACACATAGCGCCCATAGAACCTAATGATTAAAGACGAAGTCGTACAGTAATCCACTGACCAAGTCAATTGTCCTTCCCGTAATGGATCAACTAATGAGGTTAAGTGGGAAAATCTCTCCTCCTCCTTGATGAAATCGTCCGCGTGAAGATCACAGCCGGCCAAGTACAAGGCCTCGCGTAAGGCTGGAGACACGAGGCCGTTCCCCAGCCCGCCCAAGAAGCTTGCGACATTGTCTATCCCTGGAGGTCAGCAGTGCAGGGCAGCCATTGTCGGCTCTCTGGGTGGGGGAGGGGTAACCAAGGACATCCGCGGGAAGAGAACTCACGTAGCAAGGGACAGTGGGGGGGGGGAACGAGGAACGCGCGCTGTTTCCTCTGGCTCTAGCTAGTGATTGGAGGCTTCTGCTGGAGGCGAGGGAAGTGGGCGGGAGGAGCCGAAAAACGCGGCTCTGATTGGCGGGTCAGGGGCACTGAGCCGCTCATGATTGGGCGGGAGGAGCCGCGTAGGGTTCTGGGTAACAGAGGCCTTGGAAGGGTCATAACCGAAAGGGGAGGGCCGTCAACAAACGGCTGAGCTCACAATCAGGCCACGTCCTGGCCGGGGCGCCCCCCTCCCCCATGGAGACTGCCAGGCCTGAGCTACAGCCTCGGCCGCGCCAACTGCCTCGGGCGACGCCTTCGCGTCCGCTGCGCCCCGCTCCGCCCTCGCTGCCAGTCGAAGGCAGATCCTTTCGGGCAGCGGCCTCCTCGCCCTCGCCGCCCGCCCCGTGCGTGGCCACCATTGTGACCATGGCCTCGTCCTGCGCCGAGGCTCCAGCGTCGGGCCTGCAGCCCAGGACGCGGCGGGTGCTCCAGGTGAAGCCAGAGCAGGTGCTGCTGCTGCCACCCAGGCCTCTGCTGCCTCAGGTCCAGGACCCGGGCGGCCCCGCCCCGCCCGCGCAGGCGCAGGCGCAGGCGCAGGCTCAGGCGCAGGCCCGGCTGCTGCAGCTGAGGCCCGAATTGCTGCTGCTGCCGCCCGCACCCCAGGGCGCCCCCTACAGGCCCGAGCTGCGCCCCATGCAGCCCCAGACGCCGCAGATTAAGATCGAGAAGCAGGCAGAGCCGGGCTTTGGCTTGGACCCGGCCACCGGACCTTGCAGGGCCGTCCAGGCTGGTGCTCGAACCTCCAGGGCGGCCAAGGTAGACGACCACGGGCTGGCCCTCGACAGCCATCGAGGGGAGGAGAAGAAGGGCATGCTGGGGACAGAGGTCATGAAGGATGCAGCGGGCGGTGAGGACAAAAGCCTGGCTGCCCTTGTTGGGGATCGAGTCGTCAAAACCGAGGACCCCGAGGACCACCCCGGGGACTGCAGACTGGGCACGGCGTCCGCCGCCCTGATCCACGACAGCAAAGAGGTCATCCTGGCCCAGCCGCCGGGCGCCTTAGGCCTGCAGCAGCAAGACCTCAGGATCCCTTTGACTCTGCACCCCGTTCCCCCGGGGACCCGGATCCAGTTCCAGGGGCCTCCACCTTCAGACCTGATGCGGTTGACCAAGGTCCCCCTGACACCAGTGCCAATTAAAATGCAATCCTTACTGGAGCCATCTGTAAAAATAGAAACCAAAGATGTCCCGCTCACCGTGCTTCCCTCAGACGCAGGTATCAGCCGGCAAGGGAATCTGGTTGTCAGAACTTCCACTATGTAGCCCCATAGCAGACATGTCAGCTGTTCAGAAGACTAAACTAGAAAAATAAAATCATGAACTCGATTGTTAGGCTGCAGGGATCACTTCTGCGTGACTTGGATGCGTTTCAGTACAACGCACTAGCACGCTTGGGTTCACAAGGACAAACAGTGAAATATTTTTACACATAAATATTCCTGCTAGGCAACACAAAGCCCTCAATTTGTATGTTACAATCGATGAACACTGAAGTATGTAATACTGTTATGTATATCAGAAATACAAGGGAAAGTAATGAAAAAGATTGTTATTCAAGAAACTTTATACTGATTATAGAGGCTGTCTTTTTAAAATGAACAGTAACCATTTTTTTAAGGAGAAAACAATCTCATTATATGTAACATTTTACTATTCTTAGAAATATTATTTGAAAACAATACTGTAGAATAATTAGAATTGGTTTTTTAAAGAAATGACTGTAGTTACAAATGTAACAACTACAAATAAACATTATTTCTAGTACTTCCAAATATATAGCGAGCAGGGCAGGGAAGATAGCTCAGATGTTTAAGTGCCTGCCTGGCAAACACAAGGACCAAGGTTCAATCGCTGGTACTGTATGCTGTGCCAGCCCTGCACCTAGCAGGCTATTGAAGCTGCGCATAGTGGTGCACGCCTGGCCTGTAATCCCAGCAGTGGGGTGACTGAGACAGGAGGATCACCACAAGTCCAAACTGTGTAGGGAGATCCTGTACCAAATAAATATTTTTTTTAATTCTTTCAAATACATAGGTAGCAAATTATTAAAGATTTGGTTCAGACAGAACTGTCAGTAAATGTCTTTGAGAGGTATATATTTAGTTTGTATTTTCATCCTTGTTTTTTCTTTACTGATTCTTACCCACCTTATCCCTTTAGTTTCTTTCTTCAGCAGTTTTTACACTTTGTCGTCATTTTCTGTATTTTTTAGGGAAGGGTCTACAGGGTGTTCGGAGTCTCACTGCTAGATTGGACTCCTAGTGATCCGCCTGGTTATAGCCTCCCAGGAGCTGGGATTACAGGCGCCCACCACCATGCCCAGTCTCAATTGCCATTTTAGTGCGCTCCAAGGGCGGGGCCGGCATGGCAGGCCTGGGGACTTAACCCCGACCTGGGCCCCTGCAGCAGGCTCTCGAATCCACTGAGTCATTTGGCTGACGCTTGTCTTCATTTTCTAACGGAAATAATGGAGTAACATCTTTTACACTAAGTATTTTATCTTTTGTATGTTTAAATTTTTTAAATCAAGTAACTAAGAGAAACTATTAATATGTAGATAGTATTTTGTATACTACATGAAAATATAAGTTTAGCCAACTGTATTGTAATTTCAGCTGGCTCTGTAAGTCTCAGAAAGTCACTTCTTTAATTTTCTCTTGTCTCTCAGGACATGGGGTTGAAGTTGAGAATAGATTCAACCTCTATTGAGTCTAATTTAAATATATACATATATGCACAACTATATATATGTGTTGGAGTATACATACATATATATTTTTTGTCTTTTTGATACAGGGGCTCACTATGCAGTTCAGGCTGGCCTAGAGCTTATTTTGTATCCCAGGCTGGTTTTAAACTTGCAACGATCCTCCTGCTTCAGCCTCCTGAGTGCTGAGATTATGGGTGCACAGCACCACATCAGAATTAGAAAGTTTGCATGTATAAAAAAAGTTTTTCCTTTAAAGGACACAAAAAGGTAGAATAAATAAGTCTCTTTAATTATGTAGCTAAGCCACGCAATGGTGATACACACATGTAATCCCAGAAGTCCTAGGGCTGAGTCAGAAGGATAGCTATGAGTTCAAGGCCAGCCTGAACTAATAGTGAGACCTGTCTCAAAACAAAAAGCAAAGAACAAAGAACAGAAACAAAAACTAAATAAATATGTAAGTAACATTAATTTAGTAGTAGGATTATAGTCGCGAATAAGTCGTATTTTTGCTCCCCAATGTTACACTATTTTTATGGTGGGAAAATAAATGTGTACTATTTATTAGAGGTGCTAATGGAGCTCAGAGAAATAACAAGCCAACCCTTTATATATCTTCAAGATGATTCCATAGCATCAGGGGTGTTAAGGAATTCTGAAATATTGGCAGTTCTTGGTTATAATGGAGTATATGTTTTCTTTAGATACTTAAAAAATAAGTATTGACGAAGGTGCACTTTAGCAATGTGTGTGTCACAGTAATTAAGACTTAATTTTTGTCATTTAGGAATACCAGATACTCCCTTCAGTAAGGACAGAAATGGTCATGTGAAGCGACCCATGAATGCATTTATGGTTTGGGCGAGGATTCACCGACCAGCACTAGCCAAAGCTAACCCAGCAGCCAACAATGCAGAAATCAGTGTCCAGCTTGGGTTAGAATGGAACAAACTTAGCGAGGAGCAAAAGAAACCTTATTATGATGAAGCACAGAAGATTAAGGAAAAGCACAGAGAGGAATTTCCTGGTAATCAATGAAATGAACAACACCATTTTATATGTCTTTTAAATTTATTAACAAAAATTATTAGGATAAGACTGAAAGACAAAAATATGTAATTTTTGCCCCTAATCTGCTATGTTCAAAAAAGAGAATAATGTCTAACACTATAGTAGTGATTGAGGCCAGACCTATGTGTCCTGAAATAGAACCAAGCAGGGGATATTTGATTCCATTCTTCCCAATGCAAACCAGAGACATACAGTTTCATTGTAGTTTTGATAAAATATATATGGATACTAGAGATATAAATTTGATGAAGGTAAATTTCTAGAGCTCTAGGGTATAATTTTGAAAATACACTAGAAATTTTATTTATTTTAAAATTTATTTTACTTATTTTGTCTTTTTGAGACAGGGTCTCACTATGCAGTTTAGGTTGACTTTGAGCTCACTTTGTAGGCCAGGCTGGTCTTGAACTTACAACAGTTCTCTGGCCTCAGTCTTCTAAGTGTTGGGACTACAGGCATGTGCCAACTAAAAAGATTAAAACCATGGAAAATTGTGCATCACACTTAGGAGAATTACAAGGATTAACACCATCCCCCTTTGAATGCCATATGGTTATCAGAAGATAGATTTAGTCCCATGATGTTATGTAGTTTGAAATGACTCCAGTTCCTGTCCACCAGTAAGATAATTGAGATTAAGGATGGGAAGATGGATAGTGTATGGTGAACATAACTATGCATGGTATGAAAAGAATTTCTGGCTTATGAGCAGAGCTGTTTTAGGAAAAACGTTAGTAATAGCAACTGGAGGCTGGCTCTTTTCTTCTGTCCTAGGAAGGACATTGAGTAATTCATGGTTTTGGATAATGCCATTAGAGATTGTCATTGGAGATGCTTCCTGAATTAGGCATAAAACAGTGACTAGTCATTGTTAAAATGTTGTAAGATATAGACAGTGATATCTTATAGAAAAGAAACAAAGTAATGAATAATGTTTTACTAAGGTGTTGTCTTATAAACTGAAGAAAAGTTTTGAGATTCAACTTAAATGGCTTTGATATGGATTGTACTCTAGATTATGTGTCTCTGGGTGTAAGCCATTTGACCTTTTAATTATAGGTTACAAAATTGGCCACCTTAGGGCTGGTGATATAGCTCAGCAGACTAAGCGCTTGGTTAGGTAAGCTCAGGGGCCAGGGTTGGATCCCTAGCACCTCATACCATGCCACACCCCCCACCACCTCCCCCGTGCTCTAAGCCAGCAATGGAGTCCCAGGCATGGTGGCGCACACCTGTAATCCCAACACGAGGGAGGCAGAAATCAGGAGGATTACTCTGAGTCTGCTGCGTAGTGAAACCCCTGCACCAAAAAAACATTGGCCACCAGTTGGAAGCTGTATAGATGTATATGTTAAAATGCACAGTCATTCATAGAAGTAGTATCAAAAAGCTGGAAAATCTACTTTTTGAGATAAGATCTCTATGTATAGTTCAAGCTGGTCTGGAGCTCACCATGTAGCCTAGGGTGACTCTAAGCTCTCCCCAGTCCTCCTGCCTCAGCCTCCTGAATGCTGGGATTATAGGTGTATGCCACCACACCTGGTGTGAAAATCTACTTTAGACAATGACTTAGTTTTAAAGGAGTTTGAAGTGTTTTGTATTTTAAAGCCAAGTTGAAGTTATACGTTCATATTAAAAGTAGTCTATCTTTTTCTGTAGGTTGGGTCTATCAGCCTCGTCCAGGGAAGCGAAAACGCTTTCCTCTAAGTGTTTCCAGTGTATTTTCTGGTACCACACAGAATGTTATCTCTACAAATCCTACAACAGTTTATCCCTACCGTTCACCTACCTACTCCGTGGTAATTCCCAACCTGCAGAACACCATCACTCATCCAGTTGGTAAATTGGTTTTATTATGGATTACTATTTTTTAAATAGCTTTGTGAAAACTTTACCTCTTGATTTGCAACTTTGTTAGGCTTTGAGCAACAATCTGAAGTGGTAAAATCAAGAAGAGACAAAGTGGGAGTGTTAAATAGAAGGGAAAATTGCAGTAGACATCAGAGCACGTGGGTTGGAAGAGTAGCAGATCCAGACCTTTAAGCAAGTCAGGATGAGCCCCTAGATTAGTCAGCTAATGCAGGAAATGGCTGAGGTAATTCAATAGGAAATAGGAGTGTCTTTTTACTCTCTGTAAAAGAATGCCTTGCTAATGGGGTCTGAAGCATCCTGTCCTGGAACTTAGTAAATACTGATCTGTTAAAAGATCATTCTGTCACTGCTGTAAAGAGACAATGGAAGTAATCCATTTTCTATCCAATATTTTTGTTCGTGTGACTGAGTGCCTGTGAATGTCTTCCTTATCGCTTCTTCACAACATTGCTGTCTCTTGACTGTAAGAGCCCCAAGTTTGAGTAGCACATATCTAATGGCTTGTGGTAATGTTATCCATCATTAATGTGTTCTTCCAGAATCTGTTTTGTGTGTGTGTGTGTGTGTGTGTGTGTGTGTGTGTGCGCGCGTGCTGGCTCAGCCCACCCTGGGACTGGGGCTGCTGTGACATGTGGTGCTAGGGATCAAACCAAGGTCCCTGCGCTTGCCTAAGCAAGTGCTTTAGTTCGCTGAGTTCTCTTGGACACCCAGAATCTTTTTTAAGCACCTTTTAGGGAGAGCTTTATTCATGTACTAGTATCACTTGTCTTAAAACTACTTAAGATAATCCTTTTCAAATAGCTCTTCCTAATTTCTGCCACCTCAGAGCCTCCTGATAATAAAGTTTTCTCTAAAAACTGAGATATTTAGATATCTTGAAAAGTGAATTATTAGAATCATGCATTTTTAATTTTTTTTTTAAAATGTAGCATTTTAGCAATCAGTAGCAACAAAACCACATAGAAAGCCAGGCTGAGGAAGTTGCAGAAAGCCAATATTCTAGACTTGTCTCCAAGTAGGTGGTATTGCCTTTAATCCCATATTTCAAAGTAGGTTTAAATATATCTTTTCCTACCTTGTTTTTGTGATGATATTTATGACTTTTGTTTTCATAATACACATTTGTTCTTTTTATGTTTTCTACATGACTTGACTTATATCTGCTTCTATCTACTGTTGGATACTATATGTTTACTCCGGAACAGACTTCTCAATGTTCTTATTAGAGATATTACACAATATATTAATTTTATACCTTCTGGAAAGATATGAATTGGGAAGGAACTGGAAATTTTTCTTCTGATATTGGTTGGCTTCTTGCATCCATACCGTTAGATTTTTAATATTTAGGGTAGAATTACAGGACACATTTTAGAACCAGTGTAACCAAAGACAAAGTAATGATCAGTATTTTTATTATTATTATTATTTTATGACAACCCTTATTTCTAGTGAGAACTAAAGTAAGGAAAAGTTCCTTTCTTGGATTTCAAATGATAAGCAGTTGTTTTCCCAGCTATATAACATAATGAGTGATGAGATTTATATGCTGTTGTTTTAGTCTGATCTCATCACCTTGGCATTATATTACTTAGAAGAGTTAGTACCACTTGCAGATTTGGAAATTTCACTGCTGTATATTTTATATTCTAAGTCATTTATAAAATGATTAAATAATAAATAATTTGGAGAAACAGTTTTAATTTCTTCGATGCTAATTTTAGACTTTGTTGTTTCACTCAATTTGTATTCCAAATACAGTTTAATTCTAAATATAAAATCAAAGCAATTTTATTTTTCAGGCAAGTTTGTTTTATTCCTTTAGAAGGAAAATGAAAGGTATAGAGATATTTATTTTCTTTTACAGAAAAAAATTACACTTTTTTTCTCTCAATCTTTGTGCATTAAAAGAATGCTGTAGAGACTTGACCAGCTTTTCAGCTGTACAAAATGGACTCACCAAGCTTGGGTGCTGAAGGTCACTGCTTGGACTAAGGAGAAGTTATGATGATTTTCCAAAAATTCTCTGGTAGACCCCATTTTTTATTTCCTTATTTTTGTTTACTTTATCTAATATTTTCTTAGTTTACCTTTGAGTTTCTCTACAATTTGTAGATGAATATCTTTTTTAAAAAAATTCATTTTGTTGGGCCGGCCAAATAGCTCAGTGGATTAAAGTGCCTGCATACAGGTGCAGGGGCCAGGGATTCAATCTCCAGGCCTGCCATGCCGGCCCAGTCCCTGGGCCGTGCTGAGACCGCAATTGAGACTGGGCATGGTGGTGCGCGCTTATGATCCCAGCTCTTGGGAGGTTGTAAACAGGCGGATCACTACAAATCTGATCTGGTAGTGAGACCCTGAACACCCTGTAGACCCTTCCCTAAAAAATACAAAAAAAACCCCAAAACATATAATAAAATAAAATTCATCTTGTCAATTTGGATTAAAATATTCTGTGAACTTCCCATTGTACAGTAGTTGATCTAGTATCCTGAAATTATCTGTGGTACAAATTAGGTTTTAGAGATCCTAAAGTCTTCTTTAGTAAGAAGGATCTTGTTGAGTCTTAGTTATGTTTTCAGTTTAGAGCTGTTTTCCACATTGCACAAGAAGGGGGCCTGCCCCGTAGCTCAGTTCTTTAAGTGGCTGCTTCAACAAAGCAGTCAGGCTCAGGTTGCTGTGGTTCGATCCCCATAACTCAAGCCAGCCAAACCTGCCCTGAAGGCATTCCAAGCAAAACAAAACAAAACAAAACAAAACAAAACAAAACAAAACAATACCCTTCTGCACATTGCACAAGAATATAAGCAGTTCTCTTTGATTTGTACAGTTAGTTATGCAACTTTCCCACTTGGAAGCACATCTTTTTCTCTTGAGGTTTTACCACATTATATGTGTTTTACACTTTTACATATAAAATAGCCCTTGTTGTTCTATGACTTTTTATTCTGTTATCCTTATTGATCTTTTTCCCTACCCAATGTTGGTATCCTAAAAATTGAATAACCCCAGGGTAGATTTATTTAATTTTTAGTCTTGTCTCATTAGCCAGGAACATAAATGTAGAAATGTGATTATTACCCTGTAAATACTACTTTATGGATCTTTGTATACTGACTTTATGGATCTTTCTGATAATCTTTCTCTATCATTTGACTTTCAGTGAAGCTCAATTCATTTTGCTGTGGGTCTATTAATCCTATTTCCTCTTTCTAATACATTTTTGTCTCACTCAGATATTTATTTATTAAAATATATTTGGTACAGGGTTTTACCACGCAGATCAGACTCATGGTGATCCTTTTGTTTTGAGCCTCACTAGCGCTGTGATTACAGATGTGCGGCGCTACACTCAGACTTGGTGGCCAGCTCAGCACACCTGGGGGCAGGGCCAGCACAGTATGTGGTGCCAGGGATTGATCCCCAGTCCCTACTTGCCTAAGCATCATTAAGATATTTAGTCTATTGGAAAACTAAATGCCCCATTTGGTATTTTCTGTGTTTCAGTGAATTTTTCTATCTTATATATTATCTGAATAAACTCTAGTGCTATGTTTGCATCTCTGCCTGCCTGCGCTCTCCCCTGCTAGAGACAAGGCATCAAGGAAGTTTCAGTCTCTGGTATCAAAGAGTTTATAAAGTAGTTATAGGAAAGGCAGATACAAGTGAAACAATTTTGCTAAATCAAAAAAAAAAAAGATTGATTGGTATTTTTAGTAATTATCTTGTCTTGTATTTTTTTGTCTTGTATTATTTTTATGTCCAGTGGATTGTTTACGTTGTCCCTCGTATTTAATACCATATTATATTCATGAGCTATTATATATAATGGTTAAAGCATGATTTTTTTCCTCATTTTTCCCCCATGTAAAGGCCACAATAGGTGCTTCTGGTTGGTATTTCTGACCACCCTCTTTCAAAAGATAACTCATAGACCCAGGTTTTTTCCTACACTGTACTCTGCCATCTTTACTAATCGACATCTGAGGCCACTGTACTGCTCCAGGTTGTACTAACTGACCACTTACAGAAGGGAAGACAGCAGCAAGGATTCTGTGTGAGCACCCTTCATGGTGATGGATGTTGTTTTTGCTTCTATTCCGTTGGGTAGCTCTTAGGTGTTTGGCCACTCCTAACTGCCAGGCAAGCTGGAAAACACAGCCAGCTGTGTGCTAAAAAGAGAAAACAAACGGCTGGCTAATTGCTGCCGTCCTTTACCTGTAGTTTGATGTATTAGAGCTTTGTCTTTTCCACAAATGTTCCATATCCCCTGGGAGGTTATCAGAGAGGACAGAATGTTTCAGACTTTGAGCTGCCTTTTTTAATTTTTAAAGAGAAATAAGAGCTGGGAAGATAGCTCAGTAGAATAAGTGCTTGCTTAGCAAGCTCAAGGTCCTGAGTTCAATCCCCAGTACCACACACACACACAAAAAAAAATTCAAAATACAGTATTGAGAGGGTAACAGTGGTTAATACATTATGTTTTGTTATCTGTATGTTAGTTACTCAGAGTACAATATTTTGGCACTTAATTGCCTAAAATCAACACAAACCTCTCCTTTCTATGAACTAAGAGAAATTAATAGTATAACTAATATATCTGTATAATTTTTCCTCTTTTTCCTTTTCCTTCTTTTATTCATTCCATCATTCTAGTTTCTCTTTTCTTTTGAAGTTTCTTCCCATTTTCCAATATCTATTATACATTTTGGATCTTATTTTCTCTTTTGGCTTCTCACACTAGGGAGATAATACAGTCTTTACACATATGCATCTGTTTTACTGCACTTAAAGAGTATGGTCTGTGGTTGCATCCATTTACATATCAAAGCCTCCAGTTTATCCTTCTGTATGGCTGAGTAGTACTCCATTGTATTTTTTAAAAATTTTATTGAGAGACAAATATCAATGAGACAGTTTCAAAACTGATTAATAGGACAGTTTCAATAATTAATACATTGTACATT